CTTTCTACAGAGACAAATTAGCTTTAGTAATGATAGGGAACATAGAGGAGATTCCAGTGAGAGAAGAGGAGGGATCTGCAAAGCAAAAACAATTGCAATCCTAGCCCCATTGAAGACTACGATAAATCTCCCACTGATTTCTCAAGGGCCAAGAACATACAGGATCATCATTACTCACATAAACCATGAACACAATGCGTGTTACAAATCACAGATGAGAGAAATTCCATCATAAGAGAAATTACTTGGAAATGATTCCTCAGTAAAATGATTCCTGAAATGGTAAATACTTTTTTTTTTAAATAAATAGTTTTGGCAGAAAAAGCAGGACAAAAATCGGATGTGACAAACTTGTCTGTCAATGAATTGCCCTTTATTCTTCCAGCTCTAGCTATTAGGTTATGTGTCAAGAAAGTAAAGGGTTAAATGACCACAATGTAATGCACTAAGTGGCTTAATAATATATGAGAGCAACAAAATGAGGCAACCTAGAAGACAGCCAGCAAAATCTTTTACTCAGAATTTCTATTAATTCATAACAAACATATACAGGACACTTCTAAAAGCAAATTTCTGCTGACAGATAAAAAATTAGAAACTCAATCTAAGTAAAACAATCTATTCTGGGAATCCAAATATTCGATGACCAAACAAAAATAATTTTAGAAATATTTCTTTCTGTTCTTGCTTTGAAGAGTTTTGTTATTGGCATGAGTGGGAGCTTTCAGTGATTCCTCTCAGCTCCACAGTCATATGTAGTTTACATGTATAATCTAAACAGCGTTACATGAATATGCAACGTAGTGCTAGGTAAGTATAGAATTTCATATATATATATATGTATATATATATGTATATATATGTATATATATACATATATATGTGTGTATATATATAAAACCCTCAAGGGTCTCATTACTTTATTTCCATACTCTCAAATACAATCCAATCTATTCACACCATTCTCAACATATGGAATGTAAGAGCAAGACAAATGCTCAAAGAAAGATCTCATAAGTTGTCTAGATAACATGTTCTACTTGTGCCTGGCCCTTCGCATGTTCCCAAATCTGACTTGAAACTCCCTTGTTGCAAATTAAATTCAATATTTCTCACCATTTCTGTGAAAAGTACTTAGTAAAGATAAGTGATTATCATTTTTAACCSTGAATGCACTGGAAAAACAAATCATCCAGTTCTTTCCAACAGCTTCTTTCTTTTAGACTAAAAATCTATTCAACCTTTCTCTATATATTTTTTTTTAAATCTAAACATACTGTTTTTGCTGATTAATTCTGTTATTTTTGCTTCCTTTCTTAGAAGTGTGACAACCAAAACAATAGAAAAAAGCCCTAAAGGTGGATCACTGTTGCAGAAAAAAATTACCTCTCGGGTTTTTTATTTTTATGCTGAATGTTACCCTAGTCCCAAATGGGATTTGCTACACTCTCTTTCCACATCCAGTTCTAAGCAGAGAGCAGCAACATGCCCAGAGAAGCCCCTTACAGACCTTAACTTACACATTCTCTAGGTAAGGCAGGGAGCAGCTCCATGGTGCTTCGAGCAGGTACCTTCGGCAGCAGTCGGGTGACGCCTCCCTTTCCACAGCCCTGGCTGGACCATCTCCCCTCGCCTCGGGAGGAGGATATTCTACCTCTCAGGGTAGGCCTGCTCCCTACCCATTTCAATATTTAAGCATTATGGAAACAGTCATCAGTACATTAATAACTTCCACATCATTATCAAAAAACAGGGAAAACAAGATTTTTTAAAACAACTATTAATTTAGTAGACCAAGCCAAAACACATTTACTCTCAGCTCTACTTAGTTTAACTTTCATATTGACAAAACTACTATTTCATTTCTCAATTATTTTTATGTCACTTGATAGTGACAACTGCATACATTTTTTTTCTTTCCTATAGAGGACTATTTGCTCTTCAGTCTGCTCTTCTTTTGCATGAATTTCAGGATGAGGATCAATTTTCAAATTCTTCTTAATTGGARATTAAGGTTCCTCCCCATCACAGCATATAACAACTTGATTTCTGGTTTACAAAACACAGAATTCCTGTTATCTTCTAAAATTAGCAAAACAAGTTTTCTGAAGAAGAGGCTTTTGTTTGTTCCTCTGCAGTGACACTGCAGCCTCGTTATCTTCAAATAAGGCACAGTGCTCTTTCCATAGGCTTAATGCTGAGTCAAATACTTTGGAAAGCCACYGTCTTCCCCATGCTGGCAAATCCTTTGCAAAGAGCCTTTTATTCAATGAGAGCATTAAYTGTCAGATATTCATCTTGTCAAATCCTTGTTGCTGATTGAGCAGTAAAATCTGAACTTTCCTTTCACTTTGATACAGCTAAGTCAGTAACTTTGATCTTCCAAATCCACCCTTCCAAAGTGAATGCAAATGCCCTCTTCCAAACTGGAAGAAGCAAAAACCAACAGGAACCTCTGCTCACAGGAACCCCTTGAGTAGTTAAAGCAAATCCAAGGTTGCCAACTTTCAAAAAAGAAAGGGACCTGCATATTCAAATAATATCATGTGCTTAAAAAGACATATACGGACTGGCATCAATTTAATTACTGATTATAATTTAAATTCTATCAACCTTCGTAACCTGCGTGATTCAGTACTGTGTAACAAACCAAGCAACAGATCATTCCCTCCCAAAGTACAGATATGAGCACAGCAAAACCCTTCCTGTCCAGTATGACATGGACTGGGATCGTGGACACTTGGGATAGCAACGTCAGGGACAAGAACTCAACAGCCTTGTTTCTGGATGGAGGATGTAGTCACACAATGTTTTACCAAGCTACTGGGACCTTTCCCCAAGGCTGGCTCATTGTAGGCAGTCCACATCACCCCTCAGAGGGGGAAAAAAAATAAAGAAAGGACAGAAAAAGTGCTAAGAAACTTTCACATGAGTGATGCATGACAAGTCCAACCAAAAATCTGAAGGCCAAAATGGCTTTCCAAAGAGAATTTGTTGAAAAACTGATAGAAAAAATTTACTGGTGGAACAACCATTTTCACAGTGAGTTTATTACTAGCCATACTCCCCTTGACATACAAATGGCTCTAATAGAATGAGCACAATACATTTTTTCCTGTTTATTTGCACAGTTGCTGTAACAAACTGCACTGCTGCATTGCAGAAACGTCTCAGTCACGAGGGGGAAGAAGCTCCTGTCACCACACTTTGCTCAGGTCAAACTCATTACCCAGGCAGTACCCCTGCAAATTGCTTGCTTGTTCTTAAGATGTTAACCCCATTTGCAACAGGGTATGATTCAAAAAATAAGCTCGTGGATCAGTTTTATGAGATGCAACACTGAGTCTCCAGGTCTAAGTACAGAAAAACAAGTTACTTGCCTTTTAAAAACAGTTTTTGACTCCGAGTTCTGTAAGGATGGACACACAAACTTTGTTCCCTTAGAAGTGTTTCTTATGGCACAACTTCTATGCACTTGGTCTAGCAGGTGCAAAATTAGAGATCAACGAGGCCCATTTGGTCTCACTCCAATTCCTTCACTACCATGGAAATCCAAAGAGAGACTCGCTTTCCATCACTGAAGAATGTGAATTTGGGGATCCAGACAGTCAAACACGCAACAAACCCAAGGTACTGTAAATAAACATACATTTTTTTCTTCTTAAGACCCAGGGGGCCTGCTAAGGAAAGCTGCCACACAGAGATGCGACCAGCTGTAGTTCACCCTACCCTGCAACCGTTCCGTGAGCTCAGGCAACCCAAGCAACGACTGTCACCGTATCCTCCGCACCCCGGGCGGCTCGACCATGGAATGGGCCGTGCACCGGAGTTCCACTTGAGGACGTTCAGGAAACCTGGCTTCAATGGTTAAGATCAAGTGAAGCCTGCGGCCASTTCAGGGTGTCAATGCCTTACACAGAAGCTAAGCTCAGCATATTTGTAGGAAAGATCTGTTACAGAAATATAAACTATAACATAGATATACTAAATAATACAAAAAGATAAACAGGCACAAAATTTTATTGCCAGAAAGACTAGGCAACTGGGRAGCCATGAAACTTAGGAATCAAATATTGGTAGATGTATTATGATTATGTAAAACTGATTATGTAAAATTCAAATTATTTTAGTAAACGTTTTAGGTGTGGTCTGACTAAAAAAATAAAGAAGTATTATTTTTCATAGGCTGAGAGATAGCCAAGGGGTAGGGAAATGAGCAGCACAGAGGAAAGAAATGACAGAAGAAACTTCTTAACACTATTTCAACACTAAATCAGTGTGTTGCCCTAACTCCTTTCTCAGCATTCACTTCTCATCTCAGTCTTTCTGGTAAGACAGATTTTCATGTGAGGAGACCAACTTACCACATTTCTCCTGTTACCTCTTTATCTGTTTCAAAGATGAAAATTAGACATTTTCAAGCCAGTATGTTTCAATATAATTTATGCCACTAGGAACCCTCACTTCAAAGTAGCAAGAACCTTAATAATAAACAGAATTGTTCTTCACATTGCATCTTTTCCATAAGCAAGGGGAACTATAAAAGCATTTAATCAGCTTTGGGTGATAATATTATAACCACAGCAACAGTTTCTTATTTATACTTCTAACAGATCATTACCTGTCCTTGCAAACAAAGTGTTATTAACTGCAATGAGGAAAAGAATCAAGACTCTTACTAGCTGACTGCACCAYGTTCTACTAGTTTCTAAAATATTAGAAACTAGAAAACTTTCAGGTATTTTTATCAGCTACCTACCTCCTACTGTAACATTTCCAATATTATTACACAAATTACACTGGACATCAACATAATCTTTTCCCTTATATCTCTGCCTGACAGTTAATAGGTCTCCAGACTTCAAAAGTGTGTGTGAACATTATGTCAGAATGTATATGACACTGGTCATATACCAATGTATATGGTATTTCTTAATTTCTTAAAAGGCAGGTAAAACATTTAAAAATCATAACAATTGGAAAGACAATTTCAAACTTGCCTTCTTTTTCTGTGTTCTGTTCCTGCTTCCCAGCCAGTCATCCATCTGTTCCTCAATCTCTTCAATAGAAGCTCCATGATCATATGTTGGTATATATGCGTTTGATTCCAGCACTGTGTATACAGGGAATTCAGACTTTGGTTTCTTGACTTTAGGTTTCTTCTCCTCTATAAAGAGAAAAGAAGAAAAAGAAATAGAAAAAAAAATGACAAAAAAAAAGAGAAAAAAGAGAAAAAAATCAATATAAGCAATACTGTAGAGAAGTACAATTCAGAAATACTCTTAGCTGCTCAGCTCCTAATATTAATTAAAAGCATTGCACATACTTGGCACCTCTTATACCTGCAGTTATACATGCATTTGCCTTAAGCAGCCAAAAGAGAAGCCCCTCAAAAACACACTTAGCCCTTGTCAGTGCTACACTACCTGATAATTAAGATACTAATCAGGTGAAAGCAAAGGCAGTTCTTATAGGCCRCTATATGCGAAATTTCCAAAGACCATCCAGCTTCAAAGAAACTGGTTAAGAGACGAGAGTTTAGACAATTCTGTATTGCCTTACAGCCGGCTGGGCTGGGTAAAAGGTTCTGAATGAACAGGTAACTTCCCTGTTCTCAGATTCCTCTAGCTTTGTTCTATCACTTAAACCTTCAGGGAGGTTTAAATGCTAAACTTCATTTTCTGAACTGATCACTGTTTTCTGCTCTCACTCTTCTTTTAATAGTATTAAACATGTATTAAACGTGCATTACATCAGGTAACTTAAGGGCCATGAAGCAGGGGCAAAAACAGCCACCCTAACAGACCCCTAGCTAAGATGTTCTCAAAGAAAAGCTTTAAAGTTGGCTGAAAATTGCCACAGATTTAGGAACAGCAAGAGAAAGAGGATCTGAAAAAGAAGTCTGAGAAACAAAGCAACCAGAAACTTAAAGTACAGCAGGGGCTGGGTTTTTGTGTGTGGGGGTGTTGCTCTGCCACTTATTTAAGTACCTTTTCTCCACAGGAACTAGCTGATCCTAAGGATGTCACTGATGTAGGAACACTGAAAGCTGCAGCCAAAGCAGGAATGCTGGACTCTTCCTCCGCCTTCCCACCCTCCACCGCGTGGCCACCTGCTTCCCTCTGTTCTTGGGCATCTACCCAGGCACTCGGGAAAGGACTTCAGCTCACCTAGCTCCTGGGCAGTCACCCCCCACACAAATCACAAAGGAAATAAAAAGTGCTCAGCTGGAATAAGGCACCTTTGTCTCCAGTGGAGAAAGGGAAAGACAGAAGAGCTCAGCATGTCCCCTGGGTACCAGGGTGGCTGCCATGCCAAATTGTAGAACAAAAATAAGCAAAAACTGAAGTCACAGCACCTCTGCCATAGGCTCTCAGTAACTCAAAGGAAACAATTTCACCTTAGAGTTTTAAAAGCCTTTTTTTTTTCATAATAGGAAAGCAAGTAACAAGGCTTAATTGTAAACATCATAAAGGATTTCAGATAAGGGAGTATTTGCTGTTACAGAAATAACTGCATTYTGAGAGTTGTGGGAAAACGCCAATAAAAATATGGTTTACCTACACTCAGAAAGGGTGCCACTCACAAGTAGGGATGTGAGTTATGAAACCTCAACCTAATGTGGCCAAACACTTCTCTTCTTTCAGGTGAAGATGGAGAAAGCAAAATAGATCACTGAAATTAATTCAGCCCAATAGCCCTAGTCCACAGCAGAGGAACAAAATCTCTCTCTCTTCATGTGTCTTTTTGCTATCARCTCTTCAGCTGGAAGTCCAGAAGATGCTTCCAACGTGACCTGCTGCTTTCTGCAGAGGAGCCTGAGGAAGAGGGTTTTCAAATAGCAAATGGTGCCTGGACAGCTGGATAACTCAGCCTACATCCGCTACAGCCCGACAGAGACCCGGGGAGCTGCTGCCACCACCTCAAGCAAGGAGGCGCTGGATGGTGCTGCCGGCAGYGACAACTGCAGCTTCAGAAACACGGGTGTTCTTTAACATTTAGTGTCAACTTCCAGTGCTGCTGGGATTGCCTACAAGGAGAACCACTATGACAGAAAACATTTTAAAATGGCATTTTCCTGCACTCTCAAATATCGGTTCTCATATTGCTGTGCACAAACCTAACCAAAATACAGAGAAACTCTCCTAGTTCTGTAGCASACACTCTGTCTCACAGAGCCCAAGGAGATGAGACTCTCCTTTGTAGGTACCAACATCCAACTGGCCTTGACTACAACTACCGTCACTGGTGCTCATACAACTAAACACCCTAGAGACAAAGAGTCTTGGTGAAACCACRGCCAAATTTCAAACTCAACAGGGCAAATTAACAGCTTATTCTCATCATTGTCAAGGAATAATACATCTTCTAGCTGCCAAATTACATTGCACTAAATCTGCTAGTTTATTAGATTAAAAAGAATGACCCATCAGCAAAAAGTAAGCAGATAATCCAGGATCCTAAGCACTAAGGAAACAGTTTGGTATCTACTAGGTGTTTGCACTATCCTTCTCTCCTTCTTCCAGTGCAAAGTGACCTGCACTTTCTATGAGTTAAGAAATTTTGCATAGTTTTAATCCTTTTGTAGTAGGAGACATCTTGTTTTATCACGTGCTGAATTCATACTGCAAGAATACTTGTTCTCTGTGATTTTGCACTTCAAGAACTAAACAGTTCTTCTCCTCAGGCGAAAGGGTATTTAACACCTCAAAGCTTAGAAGAGGAAACAAAACCTACCCCTATGTTTAACCAGCRTAACACTCCTGTCATTAGGATCCCCAGACCTTGCTACGAAACAGCTGATCAGCTCCCCTACCTAGGCAGTACTTTGTGCCTCTAAAGGCTTCCAAAATCAGTCCAGTGCTGGCTGTTTGATTAACTAACGCATAACGATTCAGGCTACAGAGTAGGATGAATTACATGCACAAAAGCAGACAGCCAGATCTTCATCTTATTAATAGATTAATTTTGMCTAATCAGTGGCAGAATTAATCCCTGGCAAATAGTTGTTTGTCRTTGTCCACATAATAAAAGACCACAAAAGAATGTACTGCTTTTTCACCAATAAATATCATCAGACTGCCATTATCTTCAAGTTTTTAGGAGACTACATACTGATTTTGCCTACCAGTTGATTTAATCCTAAGAATTCTGAGAGCTGATGGTTTCACRGAAAGAAGGCTGTTTCATACTGATCATACTGAAAAGAAAGAACAAGCTTGTGCACAGAAAGTAGGCCATGATAGGCTAGAGGTCCCTCTCCTGGCAAGGCTCCTTAAGCCAAGCCTTAAAATTAAGTGTGAACAGAAGGGTCAGAGAATTCAGATAAAGCATCACCAAAATGGACAGTGATGCCTCAAAAGTCAGCCAGAGAGAAAAGAGGCATGGACTGATTTGTACCACTTGTTTCATAAATGAGAAATACGACTACACACACAGGTAAGTGGCAACCATCTCTTTTTCCAGGACAGCAAGAGGTTGCAGCGAGACTTTCTTTCTACATCATTCACTTACCTACATAATTATGAGAGAAAAWCAGAACAATTACAGCGCTAAAACCTGCTTAAAAATGTAAGATAGAAAAATTCACTTGCATGCACAGCAAAGTGCTCTGATATAACACAACAGACTCAGAAGTCTACAGAAAAATTTGTACAAAGGTTTTGACAGTGTATAGAAAAAACAGAGCAAACTAATTCCACATCAAAGCAAATAYGAGGCAAACTCATATGTTTAAAATTTATACATTTCTGTAAGCCTAATAAAGTCGATGTGACTACGTGCATGCATTAAGATATAGCCAGACACAAACATCTGCTGTATCAAGACCCAGAAGTTGGTTTATTTTTGAGACAACTGACTAAAAACATACTCAGTAATGAGTATAGCCTCAACTACTGAACCCTTGCCTCAAGCTGTGTGATTTGATGTCTTTCATCTTTCTTTGCTCCTCCTCTAACTTCCTGTTCCTCCCCAAAATACCTCATCCCCACGCTCTTGAGGGTTAGAAATAAACATTCAATATTTGGGAATAAATATTTTGCCCCTCCACAAATATAAAATGAAATACACATGCCTCTTTCAAATGAACTTCACAACACTAAGAGCTGGCTCAATATTTCCTGTAAAATCTGAAGCATGGTTTGCAGGGAGAGGTGCCTTGAGCTAGTTGGTACACTTGAAAAGAGCACAGGAGCTTGCAAGGTCAACGTGTCCTGCATAGGCCTGCCAAAGCAAGCAGGSCAACACACAATACTGGATTTGCCATCGCTAGGCTTCAGAGGTAACAATTAAATGATAAGAACATTTGCATCCATACTTAGCAAAAAGGCAGGTATTCTAGGAATTAAATTTCTCTGAACCTTCCTGCCAGYAAAGCATCACTAGCAGGCACATGTACCTTGTATTTTGGCAGAGATTAGTATTGAACATAATTATCCMTGATATTGGTCAATTATTTGGAAACAAATGTAAAGTTTCTTTCAATACATTGCAGAATTACACAGGTTTGACCAAAATGGTTTACAGCGAAGAGGAAAGTAAAGCAAGAAGTAGCAACTGGCTGACAGTCTGGCACCATTCAAATCAGGAGCATTTTGGATTGCCCCCAAAATCAAGGACACAGCTAAGGCTAAGGACCTTCCTCCACAGCTGCACTTAGGAGCAACTGTGGACAAGGAACCTACGTTTCAAGAGCTCACAGCTAGGGCAGACCAGCGGTCTGAAAGGAGCTACCAGAGACTGGGGAGCTGACGTAGTCTGTGAACAGAGAGGGGATAATAGCAGCAAGGCAATTTTATAACCAGAAGATGGCAAATATGAGAATGCCACATACAAACCCAGGGTCCAACATCTACAACAACATTGGAAAGCTGAATAAATACAGAAGAGCCAAAGGAATTAAGGGCTAAAAAGGCTTTATATAATGAAAATCTGCAGAAACTTATTTTCAAGCACAGAAAGGTACTAGCAAGAAGGAATGACCAAAAGCCAAAGCCAGACAAACCCACATTAAAATTAAGAAATAAGCCTATGGCAGTGAAGTTAAAGAGGCCTTCCCTGGGTTTTCTGACCAATGTCTTATGTCTTTCTGTCCAACATCTTACGTCTTATGTTTTTCTGACCAATTTCTTATGTCTTGCACTACAAGCTGTTCTCAATGCTAAGAGCTAAAGTGCATCGCTGGTGATCTAGTGACACCTTCTACACCCAGTTTTATGAAACAGCAAAGGAAGTCATTCCAATGCCATGCTGTAATCCAAGCTGTGCAAGTCCTGAAGASGGACAATACTACAACTTAGCTGAACTTCATGGCATTTATTGAATACTAAAGGCACAAAACCTGGGGGAGTGATGATTTGCTTCCWTTTCTAAAGTCTTATGTCACACCTGGCCAGATGAGAAACACTGAGAGGTCACAYACAATAATCTAGTGAAATGCAGGAATACAGAGGCTCTTTCACTAGCGTYTTTCTAATCAATTCTTTTAACAACTGGATTCAAGGCACTTTTTAAGGGCCTGCTTTGTAGTGGGTATCTCAAATGTAACCCCAGGCCTCCCTAACAAGTTGTAAATGCCTGTTCCTCGTAGGTTTGGCCTGGGTCCACCATGCCCAACTGAAGTGCTCAATGGTACCAATTTCCTTAAATTAGGCTTAGCTACCAGTAGAGCTAGGAAATATTGACAAACAAYCTCTTTGCTGAGTTTACAAAATTAAGAAATTACATAAAAATAAATAGCACAGCTGTATTTTAAGTGCTTAAAGGCTTATGCCTACTCAAAGCTGTTAAATTGTTATAGGGCACTGAATGCACTGGTCAAAATAATGGAATTTAAAAATACACATTCAAGTGTAGTAAATAAAATACAGGTGTGTGCACATGCACACACATCTTTTAAAACTGATGCAAAATAGGGTAGATTTATCTGCTGCCAAAAAATAACTGAAAGAAGAAAAGTCGCCTACAATCCTTGTGAATATTTTAGTATCGAAAACGCAACCTTCTTCACTCTTCAGAAAGAGACTTTAAGACATATATTTAAACAATAGGACAAACTCAATTCTAAAATCTGCATCCATGCTTTTGAAATTTTTTGAATTATTTTCAATGTCTATTTGTATCACAGAAGAAACTTTGTGCAGAAGAATTACAAAATACATTCTAAAAAATATTTGCAGACAAAAAGGGAAAATGCAGGAAAGCCCAAAACCCGTGGGTCCCTTCTGGTGATCTCTACCTCAAAGTCCACACTGTTGAGATTTCCACCCTTCTGCCAGGGAACCCTCGCAGCAAAACTTGCCTTTGGTGCTACCATGTAACACATAAAACATCTTGCTAACACAGTTTTTATGCATCTATAAAAACAAGCGAGCAATCTACTGCAAAATTAGTCCCATAATGAAAAGCTCATGTTAATTTAAGCACAGCATATAAATACAGAAGATTTAAAATAATTTTTTCACATTCACCTTGCAGAGTACGCACATTATTTTACAAAGCTTGTTTATTAAGACAGTGGTAAAAAACTCACTCTGAAGTGTTTCAAGTTCAGCTTTAGCCAGGGCATCTTCTTTCTCCTTCATTTTTGTTTCTTTATATTCTATATATAATTGTCTGGCATCCTTTAAGAAAACGTTGCAATGACATTAGCATCCTTATACAAGCAAGCAATTGCAATGGCTCTGTTCTTAAGTTCTCATTTAACCTCAAACAAACAAAC